TCCAAAGAAGGGGACTCCACACCCTCCCTGGGCAGCCTGTTCCAGGGCTCCGTCACCCTCACCGTGAAGAAGTTTCTCCTCATATTTGAGTGATGTGTCCATCTTTGGACACAGAAAACGTTTGGCTTTGGAACACAAAATGATAATGCTTAACTGTAAGTCAGGATTTCTGTCTGCTACTTACTCTCTCGTGCACAGGGGAATCTGGATTTGAATCTTCTTCCGTCCCATACGGTGACGTGTCACCAGTAGAAACTCTGCTCACTGCCATCTCTGCATGTCCTTTCCCTTGGGGCCCTTTCATTCGGACAAACTCCATGTTGTTATATTTATAAAAGCCAAAAGACATTCTTTGAGCCATCTTAGCTGCAACACTCACCTACAACGCATCAAGAGAGGGGAGAAAACTATGTAATATCATCTCTGTGTTTGACAAAAAAAGTGTTCTCTGAAAGCAGTTATCTAAGAATAAGTTAAAAACATAGTGGATAACGATTGTTATCTTGGTTCTTAAGAAGCATTTTAAGCCACAATCTGAAGGAAGGCAATTTTTCAGATATAAACACAGAAGCTCAGAGAAGAATCAACTCCTTCAGCTCTCCAAAAAGCAGAATTACCCAATGGCACGCTGAGATAAAATTAAAAGGGTTTTATCCAGACCCACACAACGTGGCACACCACAGCACGAGCAGGCACGTGCACAACTCAGCCTGTGCAGGGACACTCAGTTAAGTCCAAAAAGCAATAGAGAGACACACACACACACGCACAAGGTGCCCCAAACTAGCAAAGAGCACTGCACAATTGCGGCACTACTTTGTGGCAAGTCAATTCAGACGTTTCTGTGTCCATATTGTCAAGCCCAAAGCAGAAAGGACCAGCCCCCATGCACAACTAACCTGCAGGGCATTGCTCACCGCACAACCCTGACAGCTTTTGAACCCTCTCAACAAGACAGAAGGGCTCAGTTTTCCAGTTAACACAACTGAACTGAAAACTGAACTGAGAACTGAAAAAAGGAACAGACCAATATGAAAACAGTCAAGCTTTTGTCAAGTGAAATAAGTAGGATTTTATCCGTAAGTTTAAGTGGTTTATTACTATTTGCAGCAGTTTATCTCCTGAAAGGGCCAAGATGCTCATCACGTAATGCAACTCGTACTGTGCTAAGAATGAATAGACATAACTGAAATCAAGTAACCTTCAAAAGAATAGAAAGTTTGCATTTCATGTTTCTACAGGAAAGCTTGCTTCTGTGGCACTGAAGCTACAGTGGCCTGTTGAAAATACCATGAGTACAAAACAAACTAAAGAAAAACACTTTTTACATACAGAAAGGTAGTTAGAGTTTAAGATCTCCCTGAAAAACATGCCCTTTCTGAAGTAACTAGAAATATCTATGACTTTTCAAGAAAATTAAGGGGCTCCTAGAACTTCGTTATTCAGATCCATTCTTGTGTCATGCTCTCGGGCTTCTTAATCAACTTCATTGTTTTTGGCAAACACCAGAGAAATACATCCTGCTCTGAAGACTCTCAGCTGTCCGAGCCAAAAGCATTAGCTTTCAGGTAATTTTCCAAGCCAAAAGGGACAGACTATAATGCAGATGATCTGACAGGACAAAAAGCTACCAGCCTCAGCAGCAAATTAAAACTGTGGTCAGACTATCATGGTACAAGGGATGTTGTCTTTCAGAAGTGCCTTACCCTGTTGTCATAGACCTTCTTGAGTGCTTCATAGCGGATGGACCCCTGAAAAATCACCCCTTGGAAGGTGTTGCTTTTGTCACTGGCCACCAGCTCCACACAGACCATTTCTCCTTCTCCCACAGTCATGTCACTGAAAACCTGCCAAAGATGCGAGAGGAAACACTTCAAGGCAAACTGCAGCTGTTAAAGTTCAAATGTATTCAGATTCCCGTGATTCTCCTTAGGCCCAAGGCTCTTTAAATGCAAATGGCAGAAAGCAAAGGAGCTGTATGCTCCACCCAAGCCTTGCAAAAGGAGAGACTCCAGGCAGTGCATGCTGCAAATCTTGTGCTGAGATAAGCAGCTACCACAGCAGCCTGTCTTGCTTTAGCCTGTCATAAAGACAGATGCCAAAAATCCAGCTTTAAGCTCAGATTTCAAACATTAAAGAAAGAGGAAGGTCAAATAAAATAAAAGCTACTGGAAGATAACCCTCAATTAGCCAAGAATATTTGTTCAAAAGGTACAAGAAAGCAGCTGATTGGGAATAAGACTAGAATAGGAAAAACAAGGAACTCACCTCTTCAAAACTGTCAATCATGAAGAATATGTTGGGGTAGCTGATCTTTGACTCCTCTCCTTTGCTGTCCATTGGGTGTTTGCTAGGAGATGCAAACACTTGCTGAGAAAGAGACAGGAAAAAAAAAACCAAATCAGCTTCTCAGTTGAACGTGCTCAGGAATGGAAGCGCTGGATACAAGGCAAGCAGTACCAAAACACCCCAGTCCAACACTGCTCGGTCAGCCAACATTTTCCCTTACACTAGAGATGCTGGACATCCTGCAGGCAAAGCTGAGTTCGTTTCTGACTACAGCCTGTTTTGCAATAATGACAACACTTGTGAAATCCTTGCCTCTCCACATGCAAGTTATCAAATGCTAGTTGCTCCACTGTGAATGTCCCTTTGCTACCTGACCTCTCACCATCCCATGGTATGACTAAGGTATCCTCCTCTTCATTAACAGAGAAAACCACCTTGAGCTGCCTTTAAATTACTGCAAAATACTGTTAAGTAGAAGTACAAACAGCAAGGAAGCTATTGTGGAGCAGCTGACCTAACAGTGTTTGTTTGTACAGTCAATTTCATTGTTTTTGTTTGCTTAGGACCGCAATACCATCAACATCACTCAGTACATGGCCCTCAGGAGGACAGGCACTTGATTTCTCATCTTCTGCTTCTGTTTCTTTCTGTACCCACTGTGCTTCCTCTTGCACGTTCCTCCCTCTGAAGCAGTTCCTGAACTCCTTTGGTCACTGCACTCCTCAAAACAACCAATGTTAAAATAGCTAAAGGCTTTAGATTTTATCCTTCCAATAAGATTAGCAAGCAGGTAAAATAGGGAGAAGAATTCATACCAAGCAGCTTTCTTTGTTTCCACCTCTGTTTACAAACAAAGCTTTGAATTAAAGAAAACTGTCAAATCTTAGCCCACTGTGAATGTGTTGAAAGCTCTGAATCTTCCCAGATTGTCAGGCTTGTGATATTCTTGCCACAAACCCTTCAACATGATATATAACTAAGGGTGGGATATTAGATATTCATGAGAGGGTTTTCTTTTCCTTATTTATGCTTTTGAAGCTTACATGCACATTTAAATACAGATTATTTAAAAGAAACCTTGCTTCATGACAAGAAACAACGTTAGAAAGTAACAAGACCCCTCAAAGATGACACAAGGACATCTTCCAGCCATCCTCCTTCTCATGCCATCCAATGTAAAGCAAAAAACCGAACACAACCACCCCAAACTCATCTCCAGTCAGACACACCTGAGGAAAATACAGTTTGTAGAGATCTTATTGTCAAGCCATCAGAGAAACAATGTAGTCTGCAAAATAATTTAAGGGAAAGTCCACCTTTTTTACACCATTTTTGGTGCCTTAGGTACTCTACTGGTATGAACATGGTAGCTTTGTCACAGGTCTGGAGTAGCACAGCAAGTCCTACACCTGAACAGGGCTTCTACTTACTCAACATCTGGCTGCACACTGCCAGGATAATATTCCATCAGGGCAGCAATATACATCCAAAAAAGTTGACTTTTGTTCATTTAAAACTAAAAGCCTCAATGGTCCATGTTACAACAACAGGCCCTACTGTAAATGTGCTTTCTACAGCACGTAGAATTGCATTTTCTCTCTCCTGACATCAACTTAATGTATTGAAATGTTACTAGTGGTTACCGGTAAGTTTTAAAAGGGGAGACAAAGAAAAAGTTGTTAGCAGTCTTATGGTATGAGCTTCTAGGAATGAGGAACAGAAAATCCCCCTCCTTCTGAACACTGCTCACAGGCAGTGAGGGCAGGTCTCTCATCCTCATCTTCCTAGTTTTCGAGTCTACATGCAATATTTACAGTTTTTTCTCAAAAGAATTTTGCAGAAGTTAGCTTGGGGTGAAAAACAGGGGAAAAAGCAATGAGAAATGAAAGACTTACATCAGCAGTGTAATGTGGTGTCTCAACAGCACCAGAGGAAGGGAATTATGCACCTCACCAACAAAAATTACAAATACAATAACCAGGGTTGCTAGTTTTGTTTGTAGGCAAAGCAACAACTGTTTTGAAATGGTAAAACAAAATTAAAGGATTAAAGGGCATTGGTTTATTTTAGGTAAAGCCAAGCAAGCAGCTAAATGAGCTAAAGGAATGGAAATGCCTAGGAGAAATAGCCTTTTAAAGGCTACAGGAATATTTTAAAGAAGAATTTCTGCCAATTAGGAGAAGTTGCTGTGAGATCTGCAGGAAACTGAGTGAAGTAGTCTGGGGTTTCTTGTTCCTATTCCCTCCATGCTTCTCACTCAGTCTCCTCCACTATGCTAAACCCTGGATTAACTGCCTGCTGCAAACAATTAAGTGATAAAAGCTCTCAGAGTGGAGATCACAGAATCACAGAATCTTCTAGGTTGGAAGGGGCCTTAAAGATCATCTTGTCCAACCGTCAACCTGATTTTGACAAAAATAGACACCCACACAACAAACAAAAAGCAACACCATCACTAAACCATATCTCCCAGCACTACATCAACCCGTCTTTTGAACATCTCCAGGGATTGTGCCTCAACCACCTCCCTGGGCAGCCCATTCCAATGCCTGATAACCCTTTCCGTGAAAAAATTTTTCCTAATATCCAGCCTGAACCTCCCCTGGCGCAACTTGAGGCCATAACGAGATGGAACGAGCAGTTTTAAGACAGAAAACAAGAATCTCATAAAACAATAAAAAGATAAACTAGTAACCAGTAACAGCCCTATGTTACAGATTTACCCCAAAAGCTTCTCGTAACTCAGGTCTCATACAACTTCAGGTTTACCCTCAGGTTGGTTAACAGTTGGGCACTCCCCCCCAACGCACCCCTCTCAAATCCAATAGGCAAAGACATAAATCTTGAAAGCGTGCAGAGGTCTTCACAATTTTTTGACAAAGGCTATAAAGGACATTTATATCTCACATTTAGCTGACCAGCAGGAAATGTCACTAGGGATGCTTCACAAGGATGCATCTGCCAGAGCACAGCCTGAGAACCGCTGCCCTGGTTTGGATACAGTTTTTGGGATTAGGTAATACTCACGCACAGTAACAACAGGATAATCTCACCTGAGATCTCTTTTTGTGAATGTGAATATCTCCTCCATCAGAGCGTGTGCACACAGCACATGTCACCACATAATCCAGCTAAAACAGATAGAGAAATAGAGGTTTAGAGTGAGAAAAATAAAACATTCATGTGCATGAAGCAGAACACATTCTGTCTTCATTTTTCTAGCTGTCTGGCTAAAAAATAAGATGTTTTGGTATTGTCTTTCTTTACTCTATTATACTGAAAATCCTACAGTTTTCAAGTCTGTGTTTTTTTAATAAAATAATTTAAGGGAAAGTCCACCTTTTTTACACCATTTTTGGTGCCTTAGGTACTCTACTGGTATGAACATGGTAGCTTTGTCACAGGTCTGGAGTAGCACAGCAAGTCCTACACCTGAACAGGGCTTCTACCTACTCAACATCTGGCTGCACACTGCCAGGATAATATTCCATCAGGGCAGCAATATACATCCAAAAAAGTTGACTTTTGTTCATTTAAAACTAAAAGCCTCAATGGTCCATGTTACAACAACAGGCCCTACTGTAAATGTGCTTTCTACAGCACGTAGAATTGCATTTTCTCTCTCCTGACATCAACTTAATGTATTGAAATGTTACTAGTGGTTACCGGTAAGTTTTAAAAGGGGAGACAAAGAAAAAGTTGTTAGCAGTCTTATGGTATGAGCTTCTAGGAATGAGGAACAGAAAATCCCCCTCCTTCTGAACACTGCTCACAGGCAGTGAGGGCAGGTCTCTCATCCTCATCTTCCTAGTTTTCGAGTCTACATGCAATATTTACAGTTTTTTCTCAAAAGAATTTTGCAGAAGTTAGCTTGGGGTGAAAAACAGGGGAAAAAGCAATGAGAAATGAAAGACTTACATCAGCAGTGTAATGTGGTGTCTCAACAGCACCAGAGGAAGGGAATTATGCACCTCACCAACAAAAATTACAAATACAATAACCAGGGTTGCTAGTTTTGTTTGTAGGCAAAGCAACAACTGTTTTGAAATGGTAAAACAAAATTAAAGGATTAAAGGGCATTGGTTTATGTTAGGTAAAGCCAAGCAAGCAGCTAAATGAGCTAAAGGAATGGAAATGCCTAGGAGAAATAGCCTTTTAAAGGCTACAGGAATATTTTAAAGAAGAATTTCTGCCAATTAGGAGAAGTTGCTGTGAGATCTGCAGGAAACTGAGTGAAGTAGTCTGGGGTTTCTTGTTCCTATTCCCTCCATGCTTCTCACTCAGTCTCCTCCACTATGCTAAACCCTGGATTAACTGCCTGCTGCAAACAATTAAGTGATAAAAGCTCTCAGAGTGGAGATCACAGAATCACAGAATCTTCTAGGTTGGAAGGGGCTTTAAAGATCATCTTGTCCAACCGTCAACCTGATTTTGACAAAAATAGACACCCACACAACAAACAAAAAGCAACACCATCACTAAACCGTATCTCCCAGCACTACATCAACCCGTCTTTTGAATACCTCCAGGGATGGTGCCTCAACCACCTCCCTGGGCAGCCCATTCCAATGGCTGATAACCCTTTCAGTGAAAAAATTTTTCCTAATATCCAGCCTGAACCTCCCCTGGCGCAACTTGAGGCCATAACGAGATGGAACGAGCAGTTTAAGACAGAAAACAAGAATCTCATAAAACAATAAAAAGATAAACTAGTAACCAGTAACAGCCCTATGTTACAGATTTACCCCAAAAGCTTCTCGTAACTCAGGTCTCATACAACTTCAGGTTTACCCTCAGGTTGGTTAACAGTTGGGCACTCCCCCCCAACGCACCCCTCTCAAATCCAATAGGCAAAGACATAAATCTTGAAAGCGTGCAGAGGTCTATCACAATTTTTTGACAAAGGCTATAAAGGACATTAAGATCTCACATTTATCTGACCAGCAGGAAATGTTGCTAGGGATGCTTCACAAGGATGCATCTGCCAGAGCACAGCCTGAGAACCGCTGCCCTGGTTTGGATACAGTTTTTGGGATTAGGTAATACTCACGCACAGTAACAACAGGATAATCTCACCTGAGATTTCTTTTTGTGAATGTGAATATCTCCTCCATCAGAGCGTGTGCACACAGCACACGTCACCACATAATCCAGCTAAAACAGATAGAGAAATAGAGGTTTAGAGTGAGAAAAATAAAACATTCATGTGCATGAAGCAGAACACATTCTGTCTTCATTTTTCTAGCTGTCTGGCTAAAAAATAAGATGTTTTGGTATTGTCTGTCTTTACTCTATTATACTGAAAATCCTACAGTTTTCAAGTCTGTGTTTTTTAATTAACTCAATGATACTGAAACCTTTTGCACAGATGTTTGCTGTGGGGCACAATCTACGAGTAAAGAAACTCCTGCCAATATTGTTCAACACTAGCTTATTGGTCAGCTGGAGGAATAAGCGAGACAAATGCACACTTTAAGGTAGAAAAGGGAAAAACAGAAACACTAATGAACACAAGCCACGCATTACAGAGGTCAGAAACCATTAATGTAGCCTCTCAAACAACCTGAAAAACTTGGGAGCAAGGAGCAAGCATGGTAGCTCTGGACAGTAATGCCCAGCTGTAAGAGCATCTCTGAATTCTGACAGTAGCAGATTCTGGTTTTATTCAGCATCAAATAAAGGTGGAATCTGCTCTCTGCAGAGAAGTTGTGCAACGAGACTTTTGGGAGGAAGTAGAGAGAATGAAAACAATTTATTTTCCAGGATGTGTGCAATGAGCCAGCGGTCTCTCATTCCAAGATCATAATCAACAGAACTTTTAAGGCATCTTGAATGACTATAGTGATGTTCAGCTTCCCTAAGCGCCAATGTAACATATGCAATAACCAGACAACCTACGAGTTAATTAAAAAATAATTTTTGCTAGCTTCATGTTTCCACCACCAAAAAAAAGGTAGTTTTATTAAAGTTCTGATGTGAAGAGCAGCAAACTCCCAGCGCGCTCCTAACACCTTTACTGCATTTCCACGTAGCAGTTCCCTCTCAGCTGCACCACTATTGTGAACTCTAACTGAAATGTTGCTTGTTTAACAGTCTTGTTCAGTCTCAGAAGCTATTAAACTTGACAATTTTGCAAAACTTTGTTACAGAGCATAAAATTCAGCCCAGCTTCACTGGGTATAGCTAAAGGTTTTTTTGAGGAAAGCTATTAGGGCTCTACTGAAAAAGTAATAAATGTTTCAGTTTATGTTCATTTAGTTTCTGAAAGACAAAATTAAAATCGTCATGTTTCCTTCCCATACTCCAGAAATGTTCAAATCTCCCAAGCTAGGGAAGAAAAGGGATAGATCAGAGCCTTCCCTCAAACGTCTCTAGCACAAATAGCCCATGACATTTAGCTAAACATCGCAGTTACCTTCTGTAGAATGAGGTTCAAGTAGACACTCTCTTCCCAGTCAATGTCAGGGTCTCCCAGGCCAGGAAGCTTTTTAGAATCTCTCCGGTAAACTTCAACTTCAACCTGCTAAGAAAATATCATATCTCCTTGAAAAATATTATCTAAAAGCACCAACACGCATACACAAAGCTGACACCAGAAGCTGCATGCTGTGTAGCTTTCTGCTGTATTTTTCTCTCAGGATCAGAATTGGTTGACCATGGAAACTCAGCCCTTGTGGAAGGCTTTGTGTGGAAGAAGTGAAGCTGGGGGAACTGGGGATGTGAGGGACAAGTGGTGAAAAAGACAGGTCTGCGCAGGAGAATCTCAATTTTGGACAGGAGCTTCATTTATTCTTTATGATGGCTGTGTTTTAGTAAAAATGAAATAAATAAAATATTGCATACATATAGACTTGTCCTAACACAATCCCTTAGAATCAAACATGTCACCAAGCTATTGCTCAACATCATCTAGCTGGTAGCTGCTGCCTTTTCCCAGGTGCAGCAGGAGACTCTAGGAAGATGAAGTCCACTAATTAATGCTTCACAGAAGACATTTGGGTAACCTCTCTTCTAAATGTTTCACACTAACAGTACTGACTGAATCCCTCTACATATTACATATGAGATTTTCAGTGTACCAAAAAGAAGCAAATGAAAATTCCCAATAATCACAGAAAGGCAGAAACAACTCTACCAATGCTAACATACTGAAGCAACCGAGATAATTTTAAAACTTGACTTTATGTAGTACACAGGGTTAAACAGCAGCTTTACACTTTACAAAAATATCTGGAGCACGGTTAAATCTCTGACCTGCTGTATAATACAAAATAGGGTGACAAGTACCACACTTCACAGATGTCAAAGTCATGTGCTACCATGACAGAGTATCTGGGAAAGTATTTGTTTTTCTCTTTGTCACGTATCTTTCTTGGTTTACACAGCAACACACTTCACCAAATGTTTAAGAAATGTCTGGAATATTGTGACCAGTTGACATCACTGCAAACAGGGCAGTTCATGAACCCTTTTTTTCACTTTGGCTGGGGCAGAGTAAAGCAGATTTGTTAGAAAACAGATTGTCATAAAGGTCAGAATATGTGAACGAAATCAAATGGAGTAAGATTAAGCCCTAGAGTAACTGTATATTTATTTCAGCTCCTCCAGGAAGCATAAAGGTACAAAACCAAGATACAATGAAGAACAGTTAAACAGTACAATATTTCAGGGTTGACACCATCATTAGATAACATGAAAGCTGAATGCACTGTTTTCTTTTTTTTTTTTTATATTTATATCTTTAAAAATGCCTATAAACTCATACATCATCATTTCCTTGTTTTGTTTTGATTTCTTCCAAAGCTCCTAACCATGAACTTTTACTACTGGCAATATAATCACACAAACTACTGAGAGTTACTGTAAAAAAAAATAACAGCAGCTGAGGGAAATAATCTAATTTAAATTAATCTCTAAGTAAACAAAGGTGATACTTGCACTTTCGTGTCTAAAAGCACAGAAACATCATGTTTGCAAGATTCCAGGAATACCCTGTGAAACAAAAGCCATCCTGTCCCTGAAGGAAGGAGGCAGTGAGAGGACCGGGTGAAGGCAGGACTGAGAAATTGCAGGGTGAAAACTCCAGCTGTATCTAACGCCAGGGCAAGAGACCTCACGTGCTCAGCAGACACCACCTCAGTCTCTTCTGCCTCCATATCCACAGAGCCTTTATTTTAATCCACCTGGAGTTAAATCATCTCTGAACAACAAAGTTTAAACTTCCTTTTGCAGAAGTCAGCTACTAATGTCTTTTGAAATTAATTCTCATGCTGAACTACTTCTCCCCAGCGATTATAAAGCCACTGCACAACAACTCTTTCATGGCACAGCCCCCCAACCCTGTCACAGATAAGGACAGAAAAAGCACCTCTCTTTAATCGCTTTTTCCCTAACCAATTTAGGGTAGGATTCCATCAATTTAGGGTAGGATTCCTGGGCAGTATGACCTGTGGGTCAGGGCATGGTGGATCACCATGAATCACTGCCACGGCTGTTCCCCGAGCCAAGTGTTTAAACCACACAATATTCCAAAGGAAATTAATTTAGGGAATTAATTTTTTTTTTTTTTTGCCCAGGCAATAAACCGCATGGGGTACAGATTTCTGTTTAACTGGTCCAAATGGGGCAGAACAGGGGTGACCTCTTTCCAGAGAGAAAGGAGCCGTCAAGCATCCAGAAGCAACAGAGATAGCACTAAATCCAACCCCAGAAAGACAGAAAACGGACTTCCAAATGCTCTCCATGGGGCTGGAGTCTGTTGGACGTGTTTTGCAGCTCCTGCTCGTTCCGAGGTAAGCATCCCCAAGACAACATATGGAGAAGTCATCAGCCCTACCCAGCACCAGGGCAGTAGTTACACCAAGCAGCCAGCATTTGCCAGTAATTTTGGATGCCTCTCTTTCCACATCACCGAAGAAGGGTCTGCTTTATGAAACACAGTGAACCCTCACCAGGGTGGCTCTAACAAGCAGCACCACCGCTCCCTGTCCGACTGGAAATACACTTCACAGTACAAGCATCCCAATTACAAGCCACTTAAAAAATAAATAAATAAAATAATCTTACCCCTTATCTCATAAACACCTCTACCTGCAACAGTTTCTTTACTCATTTCTAAATAATTCTTCCAGAGATGGCAAAAAAAGGCATCTCAACATAAAACAAAGTGCTAAATCTGAGTTGGCCAAAACACCCAGCACTTTCCAGGGGCTCAGTTTCCCACCCAAGTGCTGACAATCTCAGCTGCCCTCTCCTAAGACAGTGGTGGCCAGGTGAAGGTGGCCATGCAGTGCTACGTGAAATAAATCAACAGGCTCAGTTCAACTCATAGCAAATGATCCCGTTGTCACCAGGGCACCGTGCAGTCTCAGGCAGGGTCAGGACATAAGAAAAACTGGGGCTGACACCATTAAGACCTTGCAGCCACCTCCTCGGTGTTAAACAATAAAGGAGGCACCCAAATCAATCATTAAAAAATAACAAAAAGACCCCAACAACCCTCATAACTAAGAACTTTAAACACAAGTTTTCATCTTTTCATGCGCGTTAATCAGTGTTGTTTAAAATCAGCAATCTAAACTCCTCGGCAGGCTGACCTAATTTGTCCACAGCTCTAGGAAGCTTGTTCAGCATCTGTACGCTTCTCTTCCTGGTACGACAGTAAACACCATAAATGCCAAGAACATAAAATCAAAATCAGAAGCCTCAGAAAGCCCCATGACTCAGGTTCCTCAAGTGCAAAAGAATTGCAGTTGTAAGATCCCATAAATGCTGTAGAATTAGCTACCTTTTTAATTATTATCAAGAGATTTTCTTCACTGAACTCCAAATAATTAAAAAAAAAATAATCAAGGGGTAAGTATTAACATTTCATATTTAAGTGAATCGTTTCAAGTTAATGTAGACATTTGGGATTGACAGCATGGGACACAGAAGACCAACATGTTTGCTGTTCTTACCTCTAAGTACTTGGACAACAACAAATAGGAACATCATCAGAAATCTCAATGAGTTCCCAGTAACAGAAACCATGATGTGAGTTCAGGTTAAGTCAGTGTTGCCAGTGCTGAGCACAGCGCTTCCTAAATGAACAGAAACACCTGCCTTACAGAAATCACACGGTAAATTTGAGCCTGATTTTTTTTATATCTATAAAATCATACATATAATATATAGATAAAAATTTTAAAAATACATAACTTCTTGATATACCTCATGCTTTCCATCAGAACACTGTTTTGTGATATTCTAGGCTTAATTCATGTTGTCATGTTTGGCCTTCCGGCTTAAGCAATGATATGGGCTAGAGAACATGCTGGATTTTGGACAGCTGAGTCCTCCCAAGAAAACAAGTCTGTCTCAGCTGGGATCTAGGAGACACTGGGTCATTTTCCAGGTCTGCTGCTGATTCACTTGGCCGTACCTCACCTCTCTGCTTGTTTATCTGGCTTTAGATTAGATATCCCTTCCTGCAAGCGTGAAAATTTATTAATAGAAAGAACTACGTATATACTAATTATTTTTTCCCCAGTTAAATGCAAAAGCCAACCTGGATACTTCCTCATTCAAGGCAAGGTGACGACCCTTCTACAGTTTCAGCAAGCTGAAATCCATTATTCTACCTTTATAAAGTTTGCACAGGGTTGCCAAGCTAATGCTGGAAAGGAGAATTACATCACCTGGGCTTACCACCTACGTGTCACAGACATTCTTACCCTGTTACTTCTTCACAAAGCCCAGTTAATCACATTTGACTAGACAGTGCCTGGGAAAATACTTTATTTTGAGAACTCATTCCAATGATTAATCATCCTCCTGGCTGAAAGTGTGCAACTTCTTTTAATTCAGCTGCTTTACTTTTGCCAGCCTCTGATTCTTGTCATGCCTATTTCCACTAGTATTAAGAAGGTCTTTAATACTAATCTTTTAGGCATTTTTTCCTGCAAATGCCTGATCTTTTTAATTGACATTAATAATATGAACACTATGACATTAGCACCCCTCTCTAAAAAAAAAAAAACGCCAAAACAACACCTCACCCAGGAGAATATTAATTCTATGTAGTTCCCAAGATATGAGAACTGTTTGACGAAACCTGCATGAATTGAAAAATCACCTTGTTTGCAAAGCTTAGTGTGTAAGCCTTTGAAAAACTCCCGAAAAGAAGCCTACAATCAAAATCAATACTGGCTGTCAGCCGGGTGGCACGGAAAGAACGGGGTAATAAGAACAGGGTTTATAAGGAGCACTATTTTGCTGGCATTCAGAAGCCATCCCCAAAAAATATCCTGGTTTTCTGTTAAAAAGAAAAAAAAAAAAAACGCCAAAACAACACCTCACCCAGGAGAATATTAATTCTATGTAGTTCCCAAGATATTAGAACTGTTTGACGAAACCTGCATGAATTGAAAATCACCTTGTTTGCAAAGCTTAGTGTGTAAGCCTTTGAAAAACTCCCGAAAAGAAGCCTACAATCAAAATCAATACTGGCTGTCAGCCGGGTGGCACGGAAAGAACAGGGTA